CCCAAACCCAAACCCAAACCCAAACCCAAACCCAAACCCAAACCCAGCTTCTTATATTGGCCCAGACCATATTACTTTCATGACACACATTGCAGCTCCTCAAAAATCAGCTTTATTAGTTGGCCTGACCATATAACTGTCATTCTGTCGGGCAGCAGTAATAGGACAGTTTTGACCAAACCCATATTAATATTTAATTTGAATCTCAAATTTCCTGATTTTGCAAATTTAATTATATTAAATATGAATATATAATTTAATGGTAAAACAATAGTCATGAATTATTTCTGGCATAGAAGGCCTAAACTTTTAGGATCGACATATGACAATTTAATGAATTTCCCAAAGCATAAATCCTAATTTTTTACACTAAGCGATCCAAAAATTTTAATTTGAATTACCCCCAAACAAAACCTTCATATATTTTTACCTCATTGCTTTTGTTACTCATAAAAACTTAAAAATTATGAATCCTCCTGTCATAATCTGAAAACCATATAATCAAAGTATTAATCTCATATGTTTAAATTAAAGAAAAACTCATTGATTAATAATGTTCACTCATAGGAAAGCCTGGAGTATCACTATTTGAAAAATAAATTCTATCTTTTAGAGGGCTTCTTTAGTCTTCTACACCATAAAAGTACATTTAGCGAGCAGTCTCTAGTAAACCTCCATTTAATTCTGATAATACATCCTTATATTGACCTCTTAAATTGAATCTTGTTGCATCTTCTTAGCAAATTAGTGTTAATTAAAATTCAAATTAATTTAAGAGAACAATGAGGAACAAAAAATTCATTAATGAAAAATAAATTATTAAATGTTTTAAATAATTTCAGTTATAATTCATGTATGACAGAGTTATTTAGGAAGGTATATTAAAATTTAAGTAACTTTTCTAAACCATTCATTTAACAAACAAATAGATTTATATATTTTCTTTCCTTTTAGAAAAGTCTTACTAAATATTTAATTTATTTAAAATGTCTTTGCGTCAGATCTAGAGCAGATGGAATTTATATCTCTAACTCTTATTTAATTCTTTGAAAATTTAATTTTAAGTTGAATAAACGATCATCTAATAATTCTAAAAAACTATAGAGATTTAGTTCATCAATTTGTATATCACCTAAGCTTCAATTTCAGACAATTATCATGAATAAAGCACTTAAATTTATTTTTCCTTAAATTATTCCATTATAAATTTAATTATTTGAATTAAACAAGATAACAAAAATTAAAAAATTGATGTAATTATTAGGTTTATAAAATCTTTTGCTTGTTTTCTCTAAAAGAAATTTAAAAAAATTTAAGTTTAAATATGTGATTATTATTCGTAATATAAATATAAATTAAATCGCAATTTAGTTAATATATAATCTTGCAGTAATTAATTAAAATGAGGAATAAAAAGAATTAGGGTCTTGATGATCACTTAATGTATTCAATTTTCTCTTATTAAGAATCAATAATCATAACAAATAATTTTACTAATCGTATTTCCTTTCTAATAAAAGTCTAAAGTTAGATTGGAACACTAGGAAAGTTTCTAAGATTATTTAGCGTAATTTAAAAGGCCTCAAATTTTAACAATGTTCTTCGAGTTAGTATTATTTATTTTTATTATATTAGTTAACAAAAAGATAACTATACTTGGTGCTCAAATCTTAAAGGGATATTTTAATAATTAAAAAGGAATAGATCTATAACCATTATTCAAATAAAAAGGAGATTAAATCTTGGAAGATAAATTAAAATACATATTATATGTGATTATTATTAATATTTTACAAATATTTACTTAATTTAATAATCCAAAAGATCTGATAAAGTTATGATAAATTTAGAGACATTCTTTTCTAGAAAACTCATTTGATAGTGAATTACTGTTTTTAATTTTTGAGGAAGTTTATGAAGCTTTTTACATGTTTGAAAAGTGAAAAAAATTTAGAAAATTAATTCAATCTCAAAACTTATCAATATTTTTCTGATAAGTCTTAAAAATATCCCTTAAATCTTTGTTTAAAAATATCAAATACGTTCCACTATAATTATAAATTATTTTATTAAAATTTATTATCATACCAAATTTAATGTAATTCATCATTTTCTTTAAATTAAGATAATCGAAATTTTCTTAGTCATAAATTATTAATTAATGAGAGAAAAAAATAAGTACAATATAATTGCGAAATATCTTCATAATTAAATTATTTACATTCATTTTTTACCAAATTTTTTATAACAATCGATCTTTCTTTCTAATAGAAATTTTTTGTTAAGCTTCTAAAAATTATTATTTTAAATGAGCTTTAATGAATGATATCATGTAAAAGTGATAATATATATTTTTTAATTAAAATATGAATAATAATCCTGATATGTTTGAAGGGTTTTTTATAACATTATTCATTAATGATTTACAAAATAATTAAGTAAATATATGACGTATTATTATTGTAATTAAAGCCTCTAATAAATTTTGCACATTGTCTAATATTAAGAAAATGAGACTTAAAATTTGCAATTTTCTGTTTTTATACATAATTCAATGATTTAAAATGAATAATAAATGTAAAATAGATGAAATTTTCACAATATCAATATAAAGCATTTATAAAAGAATAAATTTACAAAATGGAGGAAACATCTTAGACAAAATGCAATGATTAATAATTATAACTAGTTGAAGAATAAATCATTAGTATAGAATGAGATAATTTCAAAAAAATATATCATTTTATTCATAGGTGATATAAAGGATTTTTATTAAGGAGAATAAAAAAACAAAAACGACTATTATAAAAAGAATTATTAAATGTAATTAGGATGCATAAATTGATTACATTATTTATGAATTATGGAATGGAATTTTTGATTAAAAAAAAAAGAATATGATAGCACATTTATATTTTCTTGAGATGCTTTTTAATTTAATAACGTATGATTAAGGCTCAAAAGATTAATTTGTTGATTAGACTAGAGTATATTATTAAGAACTCTGATTGAAACTTTTATAATTAAATATTTTGGAGCATTATATTAAGAATTAGTGTGATAAGCTGATTAAATAATTTTAAAAGTTGAGCTTTATTTAAATAATTAACACTACAAATAATGAAAAATTAAAATTAGATTCTTAAGTATATATTGATCTTTTAGAAAAAGAAGATAAAAATTAATTTGCTTAAAAAAAAAAGAGTTTTAAATTGTATAAGCAAATTTTAAGAGTTTAATTGATGAAAAAGATTGCCACAAGAATTAAAATAAATTATATTCAAAAAAGCTTATGGATCATAAGAACTAATATTATAGGTTTATAAATTTGAGGAATAAAGAAATCAAAATCTAAATTAAAAAAATGGATTTCTGTAAATGTAGAATTGAGCCATATTGAAAAAGCTTGACTCAACTAGGCAAAAATATCAAAGTAATCAATCTAGACATCAAGAATAGAAATACTAAATTATGAAAAATATATTTAATTGTTTTTAGGAAATAAATAATATCTTGAATAATATTATAAAAAAAACTAAATATATTATTTCTGATGAGCTCTTATCAAATTTGTTTTAAAACTTGCAAACGATATTAGAATGTAAAGATATTTCAAGATTAATAAGAATTTAGGGATGATTTTAACAAAATTTAAAGTACAAGTTAAATAATGAAATAAAGAATAAATAATTAAATATAAGATTTGATTAAAACCCCTTAAAGTTTGAAAATCATTTTATCGGTCTTATTTAAAAAAGATAAACTGTTTATTAACAAAAAAACTCGGAAAGGCAGATTTCGTTTAAGACTATTAAAGTTAAAAATTTAATAAATTAAATTTAGATTATGGATTTATAAATTTATGATGATGGGTATGTTGGTAATTTAATAAATATATTAGAAGATTTAGATTTTTTTGATGATTTTAAAGTAGAATAATTGTATAATTAAGTAACTTAACTTTCAAATTAACATTATACTAATTTTATAAATTACCTGTAGCTCAATAGCATGAAAAGGAAATAGATAAGGTAAAAATTTCTGAATAAGATTTCAAAAAAAACCAATAAATTTAAATGAAGTTGCTGTCATTATGAGTATTTTGAAAAATAACTTTAAAAAGAAGGTAAAATACATTCTAAATTAAAATATGATTATTTTGATAAAAAAAAAGATTTCCTTTCAATGAGCTTTAATTAAGTTTTAAAATGTTGCTATTCTTTTTTACATAAATAAATTCAAGAGTTTTTTGTCGGGAAATATATTTTGAGACTTATTCAAGATTTTTAAAGTGCTTTTTAAAATAGATCAGTTGAAGAAAATATTGAAACGAGTTCATTTAATTAAAATGATTTTAATTTATCACTTTCTAATTTTTATGGAGAATTAAATATGATAAAAGTGGATTTATAGAATTATGATAATATTAAGGAAACTTTGATAAACTTATCAAAGCTTTGAATTCATAACAAATTAGGTAGAGCTGCATCGAATAGCCTTTTTATGAATAGAACTAGTAGGAGAGGATCTAAGAGAATTTTTTTATAAAATACAAATATTTGTGGCCTAAATTTTTTTGGTAGGAATTTATTTAAAACAAAATTTGAAGAAGTTTAAATATTTAATTGCAATTTTAACAATGCAAGCTTATAATAAGTAGAATGGACAAAAATAACTTGGGATAATGTTGAAATTTTTAATTCTAAAAATAGAGAAATTATAGAAGGAATTATATTTTCACCAAATAATAAAACCCTTGTTTCTTGTAGAAAAAATACTGTTTATATATGGAATTAATAAACTAAAAAAATAGAAAAGTAATTAAATGTTTAAATGCTAGAAAATTTTCTCCCCTAATTTTATTAAAATTTTATTATTCTCTAAAAATATTATTTCTATTTATCAAAATGATGAAAAGATATAAAATTATTAATTTCTGCACCTTATTAATATAATTATCCATTTAATTTTTATAATAATTAGGATACTCTTAATAATAAATACAATTATTTTTAAATATTAGATTTAATAAATTAGATTAAGTAAAAAGCTGAATTGATTAAATAAATTATCTTAGATAAAAAAGACCTTCAGTGTACAATTTTTAAACTTTTATGGAATGGTGATGGGATATTTTAAGTAAATCTATGAAGCCACTTTTAAATAATGTTCATAAAAGTTAGATAATTTAAGTTTATTTTTTTTTTATCTCTAAAAAAAGTTTGATTGATAGTAAGGAAGAAATTCTAATTCTGAATTTGTAGCAAAAAATGAATTCAGTTAAACTTCCCTTTATTATTTTGAAAACATTTTTTTATTTCGACTAGATAGGATTAAGTAAATATTTGGTTTAAAGAGTAGAAATGATATGAAAAAATTAATTCATAACTGAGATAGTTTAGTTTAAATTCTTAAGATTTAATATTGATCAAAAAAGATCACATAATTTTTTATGATAAACTAAAAATTATTTATCTACTAAAAGATAAAATATATATAAATGGTAATTGATATTAGAGGTAACAATTTAATTTTAAAAACGTACAATTAAGGATTATAAAAGAAATGAAAACAAAAAGATGATAGATAGAATTTTTTTGATAATTTTAAACCTTTATCTATGTATTTCTGTTTGTCTAATTAGATTATAAGTTACAACCAAGATGAAAAAATAAGATATTGTTGTATGAAAATAGATTCTTCAATAAAATTTTATCCTATTGGATTAATTAAAGGATAGGTGAAGAATTTAAAATAATCATTTAAAATTGAAAAGGATAAATAGCAAAACATTCTGCAAATAGCAATATAAACTAAAAATAATCAAAAAGATATTTAAAATATCTAAATATAAAGAGATTAAATAATTTCGAAATTAATTTGTATCATAAATTGTACAGATGATTGAGAAAAAGGGTTCTATTCCCTATTCAATAATGTAACTAAAATTTGTGTTACAATTGAAAAAATAATTTAGTTAAGAATATTTAAAAATTAAGAAGAGATTAAATTTGCAGAAATTCATTAAGAAAAAATTAAGGAAATTTTTCAACTTATGAAAAATTTCTTGTGTCTTGTAGCATTGATAATAGTATTATTATTTTGAATATTAAAAATAGATAAGCAATTTTCTTTTTAAAAGATTAAATTTGTGTTGATTTATTATTTAAATCAAATTAAGAATTCATACTTGAAACTTAAAAGTCAATAATTTTTTATGAAATTAATATTGAAGAATGTAATAATTTAAAAGTTATTAAATATTTTGAATTAGAATATAGTATTGATAATTAAAATTTACAATATTTAATGAGTTTAATTTAAAAAAAATGAAAGTGAATATTTGATAATAAAGAGTGGATGAATTACCTTCCCAAAGTTCAACACTACCAAAAAAATCTTAATCAACAACCTGGATTTATGCAACACACACATTCAAGATCAAGTAAATTGGTGGAATGGGTGTGTTAACATGAATTTTTACACACATTTTTTTTCCTAATAAATGTACAAATAACTACCCGTTTTAATAGAATTAAGATTTTCAAAACTAAAGCCCCTTAAAAAAAATTGTAAACTTAAATTTTTTCTATTTTATTATTGAGAGTTTAGAAGATAAAATTTAAAAATAGGTTAAAGATTGATTAAGTTTTCATTATAATTAACGGTTAGCTTAAAATTAGAAAGCAGCTTCAACTGTTTTAGCTTCATGTTTGAGTTAAAATATTAAATTTTAGAATTAAACATGAAATTTTGCACTCTAGGAGAATAGTTTATCATCTAAAAAGTAAGAAAACCGAAAGAAGTTGTTATAATCCCAAAAAATCAATTTACTTACTAAAAAATAAAAGATTTCAAAGATAAGGTTTTAGTTTTGAAGCAAATAGTATTTTATTTTTAATTATTACTCATCAGTGGATCAGTGGGAAAAAAATAATTTAAAATAAATTAGGAACTATTTACTATCAATTAAAGAATTTAAAAATATTAAATAAGATAGTATGATGAGCGGTTCAAAATAAATTCTAAAAATGAATAGGCTTTGTTCAGAAAATGTAAGAACTATTTTCTTTTAGGTGACTTCTTACTTTTTTTGTGTTTTTTATAACAGACAAACAACAATTTATGAGAAGTTATGAGAATGTTTTGATAAGGGTTTCGTCAATAAAAGAATGATTGCTTTCTACATATAAATAAATTTTCTTTAATGAAAAAATGTACTCACAAATAACAATAAAATAAATTAGTTAAAATTCCTTATGTTGTAATTGAAATAGTTCTTATAGAAGAATTATTGTGTGATAAATACCAGTAATCAAATTATTTGAAATCTAAAACAAATAGGAATTTTAATCAAAGATTGCCTTTTCGATTCTAATGATTAATTCTTTATACATCTAAATAAAACATATAAAAATTCTTTATACCTTCAATTGCATGCATATTATATTTATTGCTATATTGAAAAAAAAAATTTATTTAAAAGATATACTTTAGAATTATATATACATGTTTTATAAAAATTTTGAATGATTATTCTTAAATCACTTTCAAATGCAATTCAAGGCGCTAGAATTAGTGTAATTTCTTGTAATCATATAATTCAATTATAGTTTATTTTAAAGACTAATATTAAGAAAGTTGATTAGAAATATTGGTATCAAAATTATTTGATTTATTTCTATTTGATGCTTAAAAAGTAAATTTTATGAGAATGAAAATCATTTTTTATATGTCTTTAAAATATATCTTGAATAAATTTTTTTAATAAGCGTAGCATTAATACTTTTTAAGATACACATATCTTTGTTTATTTTAAAATAATTACTATTCAATTTTCATTTAAATTATATTCAATTTAATAAGATTTTTTATTCCATTTTGTAAATTCAGATGATAACACTATCCATTTACCAATCTTAACTGAAAAAGTATACTATAATCCACCACCACTACCATAATCAATTATTATAATTACATTTATTTATATTCTTAATTTATATGAGAATCTGAAAACATTATATCCCATCTTCCGACCTTCATACCATTCATATTATATTCGCCCATATAAATTACTTAAGAACCATATTCAAAGTTCTCCCACAACTCTACCCATTTCCCAATCTTAATTTCTTGAGAATTATCATATGATCCATTACCACTTTTATATAGATTTATCATGTATACATTTTTTCATAATTTTTATTCTAATATCCATCGTAATCTCTCCACTTATACATAATATCCCATCGACCTATCTTCATACCATTTTTATCATATTCACCAATATACGTGACTTATTTTTGATTCGAAAAGCCTTCATCCAACTCTACCCATCTACCAATCTTTCCTCCCAAAATACTATCATATTATCCACCACCACTGATATATCGTTATTCATCATATTTACATTAATTAATCATTCTTTTATATATCCCATCTCCCTACCTTCATACCCTTAAGATTATATTCACCATGATAAGTGATTTCTTTATATTCAAAGAATTTCTCCCATAACTCTATCCACTAGCCAAATTTTATTCCAGAAACACTATCATACTATCCACCACCACTAATATTTCAATATTTATACTATACATCAACTTAAATTCTCTTTAGTTTGGTTTTTTATAGATTATATCCCATCTCCCTACCTTTATACCCTAAATATTATATTCACCAATTAAAATGACTTAAGAATAATACGAAAAGCCCTCCCTTAACTCTCTCCACCTTCCAATCTTAATTCCCAAAAAATTATCATATGACCCACCAGCACTTATATATTTATACTTCTAATATTTACATTAAATTATTTTGCCCATCAAAATTAGAGAATCCATCCCAACATCCAGCCTTCTTACCCTGCATATTATATTTACCATTTAAAATAATATTAGCACCACCTTAATAACCTATCCATGACTCTTTCCATCTTCCAATCTAAAAACCTAAACAGCTATCATATTCTCCACCACCACTAAAATGTTAATACTGAAAAGAAATACATATATTTAGATTCTTTCTTTCCCCAAGTCTATTAAAACCATATTTCCCATTCACCAACTTTTTAACCATTATTATTATATTCACCTATATAAGTGACTTATTTATATGCTTCAAAATTATCCCATAACTCTGTCCACTTGCCAATCTTTATTCCTTAAGAATTATCATATGATCCTCCACCACTAAAATTTATTTAATAAAAATAATTGCCTTAATATATTTTTTCCTTCAAAATTTAAGAATATCTTCCATCTACCTATCTTCCTACCATTTGTATTATATTCACCATTATAGATAACTTATTTATTTTCCGCAAAATTTTCCCACAAATCTATCCACTTACCTATCTTAATATCTAAAGAGCCATCATACTATCCGCCACCACTAACATTCCGAATTTATTATTTACATTTATTGATTTCCTTTGTCTTAATCCCATATAAAAGTCCATTTCCCTATCTTCTTACCTTACATATTATATTCACCAGCCAAAGTGACAGTAGCTTTAGTTGAGAAGCCCTCCCATAACTCTATCCACTATCCTATCTTCATATTTAAAGAATTATCATATGATCCGCCACCACTTACACATATAGATTTTTAACTTACATCAATTTATTTTATCCATTTTAATTCAAGAATATCTTCCATCTACCTATCTTCCTACCATTTGTATTATATTCACCATTATAGATAACTTATTTATTTTCCGCAAAATTTTCCCACAAATCTATCCACTTACCTATCTTAATATCTAAAGAGCCATCAAAAAATCCACCACCACTAATAATCTAGACTTGTTATTCTTACATCAATTTATTTTATCCCTTTTAATTCAAAAATATATCCCATCTGCCTATCTTGATACCATTTGTATTATATTCACCATCATAGGTAACTTATCTATTTTCTCCAAAATCTTCCCATAACTCTATCCACCTCCCTATCTTCAATTCTAAAGAGCCATAATAAGATCCGCCACCACTAACAGATCTAGATGAATATTTACATTGATTTATTTCGTCCATTTTAATTCAAAAATATATCCCATCTACCTGCCTTCTCACCATTTATATTATATTCACCAATAAATGTGACTTTTTAATCTTTTTTGATGTCCTCCAACAATTCTATCCACTTTCCAATCTTTATTGAAGAATCTCTTCCTAAAATCTCATATACTCCGCCACCACTTAAAATTTTTTAATCATTACATTAATTGATCTTAATACAAAATATCCCATCTTCCAACTTTCTTATTATCTATCAGTAGCCCATAATACATAATATCAAAATTCCTATCAATATTTAAATGATAATACTTTGTTGACTTAATCATTTTTCTAGTCTCTGAAGGAGCACTTCTATATTCACTATATTAATTAATAATATTATTACATAAATTCTTCATTTTTAAACATCTTCCATAATCCAATTTTTATTCCATTATTATATTCACCTTGTAAAGTTACTTGTGAAACCTAAGTAAAATCTTCATCTAATTCAATCCATATTCCTAATTTTTATGATCCCCCTTCTTATACATCATATTATCCACCACCACTAACTATATATCCCTCTAATATTTACATTTATTTATTTTTTCCATCATAATTTAATAGTATATCCCATCTACCAACCTTCATTCCACTCTAATTATATTTTCCATTAAAAAAGACTTTAGCATCATCCTTGAAGCCCTCCCACAAGTCCACCCACCGACCTGTCTTAATTGAAAAATCTCCTTCTTGCACATCATATGAACCTCCACCTCTAAAATCATTATTAATTTTACATTTATTTATTCCAATTATAACAAAAATCCCATCTACCTACCTTTTATCCCTACATGTTGTATTCTCCATAATAAGTGACTTTTACATCAAAGCCTTTCAAAAATTCTACCCATTTACCAATTTTAATTGAAGAGTCTATTTCTTACTCAAGATATGATCCACCACCACTAAAATTGTTGTTATTTTTTTACATTTTCGTTCCTCTAACCTTACAGAAATCCCATCTCCCTTTTTTTTCTCCTTTTATATTATACTCTCCAATAAAATTGATTTATGCTTTTGCTCTGAAGCCTTCCCACTATTCTATCCATTTTCCAATCTTTTTTGATCCTTATTCTTATTCAACATATATTCCTCCACCACTAAAATTATTTTTAAACTTTTACTTACATTTATTTAAATACTTCCGCTTCTAGTTAACAGTACATAATATCCCACCTCCCTTTTTTCCATCCTCTATTATTATATTCACCCTCATAAATCACTTATTAATTTGTCCAAAATCCATCACTTAAGTCCAACCATTTGCCAATTTTTTAACCTTCATAGTTATAATATCCACCATCACTAAAAAATCATTAAAATAATTACATCTTATTATTTATATATATATAATACCATTTTCCCCTTTTTATATCGTTATAGTATTCTCCTATTTAAATAACTTGAGCCTGACTATTTATTAATATCAATAAAATTATTACGAGTTAAAATTTTTTATTATATCTATCCATTAACCATGCTTAAACCCATCCTAATAGTACCCACCAACATTTTTTAGAGCTTTTCCATTCCAAGTAGCAATCCATCTTCCATTTTTTTTTTTATTCAATCCAACTTAACCTTGCCAATAGAGATATTTGATCTATTCTATATTACTCAATAACTCTGAATTTATTGAGGCTTCATTTAGTTATTCTCTATATTACTTTATATTTATTATTACCTTCTCAAAATGACTCCGTCTTTTTCATATATTATTTAGTGATCTTATGTAATTTTTTAAAAAATTTTTATTTTCACAAACTTATATTTGTTTTTATCCAACTGGTCAACTTCCTACTCTTAAATGTTTAATTCTTTATTAGATGATTTCAAGTCAATCAAAGAAGAGAGCATCAAATTCATTTTGTAAATAGTAATTTTTATTCTTTTAATTTATAAATTAATATTAAAAATTTTTTTTTTCCATTTATTAAAATTTTAGGCTCAAAAATTTTTTTGAAGTTTTTAATTATTATTTTTCAAACCACAATTATTTGAATTGCAAAAATACTGGTAATTCTAAAACTTTCAAAATAATAGTTTTGGTATCAATTTTTAATAAGCGCTTAAATATGGATATAAAAAGAATACTTTTGATTTTTTATTTAAGATGAGAATATTAACTTCTTCAAAATTTTAAAATGTATTTAAGAATAATTCTAGGATTCAGTTTAATTTATTGATTTGTATTTTTTATTTAATGATAATTAAAACTAAATAATTATATTCCCAATATTTTAAATAATTGGAAAATTAATATTATAATATTTACTTACTTGTAGGATGTTTCATATTTCTGTTCTTGATGTTTCCTATTACTATTCTTAAATATGAAATAAGCAGTTACAAGATTGAAGTAAAGCCAGGACCTTTTTGGAGTTCCAAGTAGCTTATTACCTCTCAGAAAGAGCCAAATTTTTTTGATTATGTGTAATTGAAACCTTTATTTAATCTTTTAAATCAACAATTCTAGAAGGTTTCCTAATTGATTATTATATATTTTGTATTTTAAATAATTGTATTTGAAGAGTATCTAATTATATAGATAGAATTTCCAGAATATATGGCACTTTTTAATAACATAACCTTTATTCAATTAAAATATAAAGTATGGAAAATATTGCTTATTCAAATACAGAACATAAAGACATTATTTTTCTTAGGCCATTGTAAAATTCAACTTTAAAAAAATAAAAAGACCTTAAAACTGAAATTATATACTTAAAAACAGAATTAATTGTTTTCATTTATAAATTTCATTATCTTGATAATTATAATTGATATTTAGATTAAAAGAAAAAATTATCCAATTTCAATTTTTTCTTGGATTATCAGAATATTTTTGAAATAAGAATCCATGTTTTTTTCTATTCAATTTTTTCTACATTTTTTTTAGGAGTATTTATTTTACTATACCTCAATCATAACTATTTTCTCTCTTTTATCAAAATTAAAAATTGTCAATTATATTAATCTTTTGAAAAATTAAATTTTCATTCATAATATAATAAATAGAATACTAAATAATCTACTCCTACTAATATTAGATTTTAAATAATAAATTAAATCTCATAAGATATGAATTAATATTTATTTAAAGGAATCCTAAAAGATTTGAAAAGTAATTTCTAGATAAATATTTAATGTGAATAAAAAAATGTTGATTAATCAATTATGATTTTATAAGAAAACACAATTTACATAAATTTTTTATATTTATCAAATTTATTCTTCAAAACTAGTCATCCTGTAATTTAATAAAATTTGGATAAAATTTTTAATTGCTACTAAACAAGATTTTGAATTAAAATTTTAATACTACCTATATATGATTGGATTCATTGTTCAAGTTTTTCATATCAAAGATTAGTTTGGTAATTAAATTAACAGAATTAATAACTTTAATCTATAAAAAATCAAAATTATAAATAATAATTATAATAACAACAATTCAATCAAATGAAAGAAAATTTCAATAGCGAAAATAACAATAATCAATTTACACAAGATTCTGAGGAAATTTGTTTATTATGTAAACTGGCACTTCAATAAAAGGAACTTTAATTTTAACCTATACTGATTTAATATTCAAATATTTATGAACATTTAAGATTTATGTAAAATTATCCTACTCCTTATTCTAATATTATATGTTTGCATGTTTCAAATTGAAATCACATCTTTCAAATTTAATTTTATTCTAAAAAATCCTTATTAAATTCAGAATATTGAAACATCAATTATTGAAAAACATTATTAAGATTAGGATTTTGATATTTGTTAATTTCTTGATGAAATTTTGTCTCTTAAATTTTGTGTAATTTAATTTTCTACTTATTAAGAGATATAAATGCATTATTAAGATCATTTTCCAAAAAAATTGTTTTTATGATGTTACACAATTATTGGGATAAGAGTATTATTGATTAAATCAAAATAAATGAAACAGAACCATTATTTAAAATTTTGAAAACTGTCTAAATTCCTCTAATTAAAAACCATAGTCTTTATTAATTTGAGTAAGATCTTTGAATATTATTAAATCCTTAATTAGAATTAGCTAAAGTATTATTTACAGTAATTACTTAAAAAACAATTACCTTTTAATTGAATCAAAAATTATTAATACTACCTTATGATATTTCAAAAATTAAAGAATCATTCAAGTCTAAAATTGATAATTTTCTTGATGTTATAATTTAGTTCATTTTAAGATTAACTTTATTTATACTCATGTTAAAAAAAAATGCTATATTACTAAAATATACTTATGGATATTTCATATGTCTAGTATGTTTTAAGAAAATGTGTTTCGAATATTGTGGAGAACTTAAGAATTATTTTCATAATGTTATTAAGGAACCAATTGGAAATCTCTAAACACATAGTATTAAAAAACATTAAAGTAAAATATATACCAGAAAGTTGAAAACAGTTAATTTAATACTTTTGAATTCTCCCTTTTTTGTAATCACGAGAAATAATTTTGTTTAAAATAAAATAGGGGATTCTCCTATTAAGGGTTTATCCCAATTAGAATACAATAATAAATATTAAATAAACATGAAAATTGTTGATCTTATAGTTAATATTATAAAAGAAGAAAAGTTTTTAAATAAATTAGATGCAAACAAGAAAAATATTCAAAAAGGGAAATTTGATAAATTTGTATCCAATTTAATTATTCATAGTTTATTTTTCGAAAATTCATTTAATATCTTTTTAATTTATTTTTTTTTTCTATCAATAAAAATACTGTTATATTTGGAGATTCTAGTTTCTTCTACTAATTAAATAAATATAACTAATTGCCTTTTTTAATCAAAATAACATAAAGAACTCTTTTCTATTAGATTATTTAATATTTTCTATGAAATTTTTAGCTATTTTTAAATTGATTATTATTTTCACAATAGATTTTGATTAAGGCAGCTTTTTTCTTATGCTCAAAAATATTCAATATTGGTTTTATTACAAATTTCAATTTTTGATAAATAAATTTTTTTAAGATCTCTCACCTGATAATATGAAAATAATATTTATATTTTCAATTTATGTTCTTAATTAAAGCTTTATATATTTAAATACTCATTATTAACGCCAATCAAATTTTCTTTAAGATTTTTATTATATAATCTAAGAAAAATGGAAGTATTATGAAGTATGAAAAGAATTGCATTTATTTGTTATAGAAATCAAAATTTTGATAAGTTACTTATTATATTTAGAAATTTTGTACAATAAATTTAATCTGGTTTATGAAATTATTAAATCACTTTAGAAATTACATTAATCTTAAAATTATAGAATTTAAACTTGATTCCTTACTTTTACAATTTAGATGATGTTAAGCCTATAGAAATATGCATTTAGAGGTTTTCTATTGAGTATAAGTCTTAAAATCTAGTTAAATACATAAATCTATATTATTTCATATCAAAGAGGATTACATAAATTAATTTACCTTGAAAACTTAATTGAGAAATGAAGCTAAAATATAAATTCTTTGCAGAATTAAATTTCATCAAAGCTTGATATATATCCTAGGATTATACCTAAGGTTTGGACTAGTCTCTTTTCATCTTTTTACAAGTTTTTCAGAAAGGATGAAGAAAAAG